TAAGCTGCAGCTGCCCCAAACAGACCCTTACTCAAATCCTAATCCCTTGTTTTTCTTATCTTCTCACACATCTTTTAAAACTTTTTATCAAAAAATGACTTATCAATCTAAAGTTTGACCAGGCTCCCAAAAATTTAAACTTTAGTAGTGGTTAATGGGCCTTGTACAAATTTCAACTCTCTATAAAGCCCATTATTCTGTTTATCTTTATTGATGAATCAACTTGATTAACTTGGATATCTCTGAAAAAGTTCTTCATGATGCAATAAAGATTATTCTCTGTCTCCTATGTTGACTGATCCAGCCCCCTGTCGGTCCATGCCTTAGCCAGCCTTTTACAATGCTCCCCAGCCCACAGCTTTGCATTGTTACTGTTTTTCATTTGAAGATTCACATACAAACCACTCAATTCTTATTCATTTACATACTTAAACCATTATAAACTTCAACTTTTACATACAACCACATTTCCTAAGCATGAAAAAATATATTTTTTTCTTGCAAATTATTTTCTTATGGCATTAATCTGAACTGAAGCTCTCAATTTCTGCAGCAGGGAGAGAGGAGGAATAATACTGAGATAAGGACGAATCTTCTGCAATTAAGTTTCTCTGGCAGCCTCAGTGACTCAAGTCCCAAGGATAGAAAGTAGGTTAAGTAGCTCATTTTGCCATCTCTTTGTTCTTCATGGTTTTTAGTGATATATGGTGCTTGGATTCACATGCCTTTTTGATAGAGACTTCCTGTTGAACTTTATTGTTGTGAATTTTTAAGCAAATGATGCTTTGATAAAGAAAGTTTGGTGAAGCCATATTGGTTTTTAGAGGATGTTTTAAAAATGAAATTTTACATGCTTTCCACACAATTCTTATGTATTTAGATATGTAACATTGGGAGTTTTATATTTATATTTATGTAAATATAAAACTTGTGTTTTTTTGGGTGAGTTAATTTTATATTTCCACTTGGATTATTTTGAATAATTCTGTATTGGTTTTGTTATTAGTCAAACATATAAAAATTGAAAAATAAATTTAAACTTCATACCAGAGAATCATAACCCATATTTACTTATTAAAATCTCGTTTTTATAAGTGAAAAAAAAACAATTACTGACATCAGAAGCTCACATTTTATTTTCAATATATAATTTACTCTATATGAAATTAATTTGACTAAATAGAAAAAAAAAA